TGTTTTCATTCTTTTCACCTTTTCACCCTTATCTTATCTTCATCTCTTCTCTCTCTCTCTCTCTATCTTCTTCTTCTTCTTCTGCTGGGCTTGCAGTTCTCCCTTCCTCTCTGTCATTTCTGCGTATTGTTCTTTCCGTTCTTGCTTCTCTTTCTATTTCTCCACTTTCCTTCCTCTCCTTCCTGCTTCTTAGCTTTCCACCAGAAAAAGAAAATGAAAGAACGGCAAGCTCGTCTTGGTTTATCACTGATCACCAATGAGACAGGAGAGAAGAACAAGGAATAGAGCAATGAAGTCGAGGAAGGGGCAGATGATGAGAGCGAGGGCGTCTTGCTTTCCCTGAGCTTTCGGTTCCTTTCATTTGTCCTTTCTTCTTATGAAGAGAAAAGGGAGAAGAGCAGAGGATGAAGGCAAGGGAAGAGAAAACGTGTGAGCCGAGCGAAAGAGGAGTTCTCCCTTCCTGTCCCCACCATCTGCCTTCATCCTATCTTTTCCTTTTTGTTCTCTGTTGTCCTTATTCTCCGCAGAAAGTTTTGGAAAGGAGGGGAGGAAGGAAAGAGGGGAGGGGAGGGATGAGAGAGCAAGAGATGGCAGACAGAGAGAGAGAGAGAGAGAGAGAGAGAGAGAGAGAGAGAGAGAGAGAGAGAGAGAGAGAGAGAGAGGGAGAGAGAGAGAGAGAGAGAGAGCGAGACAGAGCGAAGAAGAGAGAGAGAGAGAGGGAGATTAACAAAAGAAAAATCTTGAGAGGGAAGGAAAGGAGAGATAAACACATCGAGATGAAGTGGTGTTTTCCCTTTCCCCTTCCTTGGTGTTATATCAGGTAAACAAAAACAATACTAATAGGAAAAGGCTAAAAGCGGCTGAAACAACAATATGGTCATGGGAATATTTATCAACAAAAGAGTATATTATCGTCTTAATTAAAGCAACACACTTGAGGGCGCTCAGGGTTTGTCATTTCCAGCAGCTCCTGTAGTTAGCGTTATTTATGTTATTATTGATTTTTTTAAAGTAGTATATTTATCGCAAACACCAGACCCTTAGACGAGGGTTGAATGGAAAACGGAATGAGAGGTAGGTGGCGAAGCCCTAGGAAAATAAGAGATGTGATGCCAAACATGGGAGCCCTGAGCCGTGAACCGAACTAGCCCTAAGCCATAAATTTTGCCTTAAACCTAAACCCCACAAATTGTATGTGTGAATTGAACCGTTTAAATAGCAAACAAAAAGGAAGTGCCAAATAGACCCTAAAGGTCCATGCCACTTAGGGGTTTAGGGGTCTAGCGGTTTATGGGTTTAAGGGTTTAGGGGTTAGTGAGTCTAACAAACATCATCCACCTTTCAGCACTGCAGGGAGGGACAGAGTGACATGAGTGCATGCAGAATGTACGTCAGCGTGGATGAGAGGTCTTTAGGGTGTAGGGTTGAGGGTTTCGGGTAAGTTTAGAGTTTACCTAAGCCCCATCCCCGGTTGTCATTCCTCCTCAGCAGCACAGACTTCATGTGCTCAAGTCGGTGGGCAGAGAGCATTGGCTTCGGATATATGGTGGAGGGGATATGTTTCGAAACGGACGCAATATGCCAACTCCTTTGAGAGACAGCTAAACCAACCAAATCCTCAAATTCCAAGTCTTAAGCCGCCCCCTGAGCACAAAAAAACACTTACCAAAGCCATCTTTCCACCCACCAAAGAAGTCGCCAAAGCACCTGAGGGCAACAAACGCCCTAGAACCATCGAACGCTCGCAGCCCTAGACCCGAAAGAACTCGAAAAGCCCTAAACCCTAAGCCCTAAACCCTAAGCCCGACACCCTACACCCTACACCCCAAACCCTCAACCCTAAACCCCTGATCGGCTCCTGGGAGCTCCGCCGCCACCGATCCGCCTCGGCGGCCTGCGGAAGTCACGTCTTCTGAGGACTTGCCTTTGGGGGGCTTGTTGAGGTGTAACCCTAAACACTAACCCCTAAACCCTAAACCCTAAACCCTGCACCCTAAACCCGAAACCCTTGTAGGGCTTAGGGTTTAGGACTTAGGGTTGAGGGCTCTTTGCAAGGTATGCAGGTCTTGAGTGTTTTGAGGATTTTAAGATTTTGGTGTTTTAGGGCTTTTTGCGTTTGACGTGCTTAACGGTCTTGGCTGTTTGGTTTAGGGGCGGGTTGTAGGGACTAAAGGTTTTGTTTAGGCATAATTAAGGGTTGAGGGATGCGCAGAGGGGCTTTAGGGGTTCTGGGGCCGGGGGGGTTGATTTGGGTTTAAGACTGGCTCATGCGCTCTCGAAGCAGCAGAACAAATCTTGAAACGGCCTTCTCCACGTGAACAAAAGGGTTTAAGGGGTATTTCATAGTATGTCCCAAGATAGGGCTACCCGTAATCCAGCCCCAAGATACGATAATCCAAGTCTTGCAGCCCCCTAGTGAAGAAGAGGTACCTTCCCCTCTTCTGCCAGATCAACCGATATGTAAAGAATGTAGCAGCGGCAGTCCATTCTCATCCTTTCTCTTTCTGTCCCGAAACCACGAGCTAAAAACCCTAAAGCTCAAAAATACCGTATACTCCCTAATCCTTAAAGCCAGAGACCCCCTAGGACCCGAAGTCACAAGCCCTGAATGTTACAACCTTAAACACCCCTAAACTCTAAACCCTTAACCCTAAATCCAAAACCCTAAACCCTAAAACCCTGAACCCTAAACCCTAAACCTTTCCAAGACAGCTGCCTTCTCGGCGCACTTCTGCACGAGGGCAGCGTGCGACCTGGCAAAGAGGGATGGGCCTTAGGATTTAGGGGTTTCAAAGGGTGAAGGGTGAGGGTGTAGGCAGGTTAGGGTTCGGGTTTATAGGGTTTAGGGTTTAGGGTTTAGGGTTTAGGGTTTCATGATTCAGCAATTATAGGATTGAGGGTTTCGGGTATTTGGGGCTTGCAGGTTCCTGGGGGTTGGGATGTCAGCCTCGGGGTTGTTCGGATTTATGGCGTGTAGGGCTTAGGGTTTGTAGGGTTTAGGGTTTAGGGTTTAGGGTTTAGGGTTTAGGGTTTAGGGTTTAGGGTTTAGGGTTTAGGGTTTAGGGTTTAGGGTTTAGGGTTTAGGTTTGTAGGGCTCATGGGTTTGGGCTTAGAACCTTGAAGTCAGACTGGCAAACCTGCGCGCCAGCCAAACCCAACACACCAAGACCCTAGGCGAGACACTCCCAGGCCCCTGCGGGCCCCAGGACATCTCTTGAGTTTAGGGTTTCACCTGCACCCCCCCAACTACCCTTTCATAAAGGGGGCTGATCATATACCCGAGTATGGTTAAAGGGCAGTTGGGGGGTGCTGGTAGGGTTCTGGGTTTAGGGTTTAGGGTTCGGGGTTTCGAGCTTGCGCAGAGGGAAGATGGAAGCTTCAGTAGAACAAGCAGCAGTCCAACAATCGATCCCGCACGGGCCTCGTGTCTGCATCGGTTGCCTCGTCGGCATCAAACAGGGCACTAGACAGCCCCAAACCCCTAAACGATCTCTTGTAACAGCGGCCAAACACTCTGGCCAAGTCTGGCAAGCACATGCGCGCATTTGAAGAATCATCTTACTGCGACTTCAACTTCAGGGTTGGGGGGTTTGGGGATTTGGGAGTTTTGGGGTTTGGGGGTTTGGGTTTAGGGTTTGGGGGCGTAGGGTTTAGGGTTTAGGGTTTAGGGTTTAGGGTTTGGGGGGGTAGGGTCTAAGGTCAACTACACAACATGCCTGACCTTCTATAGTCCATGTGCCGCTCTGCTCCGTCTAAGGGCTCCTATACTCCTAAAGCACTGGCTCGCCCTCGCGTCTGACCCGAAGAAGAGCTACCGCTATGGCCTAAGCCCTCTAAACCCTGAACCACAAACTCTCAACCCTTAACTCTTAACCCTGAAGCCCTCAACCCGACCCCTCAAAACCCGCAACCCGCAACCCCAAACCCAACTCCCCCCAATCCACCTGCGGAGGGCTTTCGTGAGGTGTATCGCTTACACCTCAGAGAGGACCAGCAGAATATGCAACACCCTAATTAGAGATGCTAGGACTGCTGCTGGCTTGGGGGGCCCTAGAAGAAGTGCATTTCGACATGGGTGCTTTAGGGCTTCTGGATTTTAGGGCAAGATGGGGTTGTTTGGGGTTGTAGAGGGTTATACGTATGGCACATCGACCTCTACAAAGGAAGTGTTGAACATGCACTCCAAATCAACCCCGAATGAAGGCCCACAGTTTAGTGTTTAGGGTTTAGTCCCCCCAGGCCCCTAGGCTGCGGGACGGATTGAGACAAACTGCGTCCTGACCTGTCAGGAAAGCCTAAGCCCTAAACCCTAAACCCGAAACCCTAAACCCTAAACCCTTAGGAACTCTTGGCCGGCCATGTTGGTGAACATGTCTAGACTTTGGGGCAGCCTAGCAAAGACTCAGCAACTTTCCCGTCAAACCTCTTCCTTAGAGAGCACAATCATCTCTCTGGATTAAAACACCCTAAGCCCCAACACCATAACACCAAACAGAAAAACTTCTAAACAGCCAACTCGGCCCCTGTCAGTATTCTTGTCAAGGTCGGCAAACCAGGATGGACACCAATTTTCTTTTGGCGAGCTTTGCATAGCACGGCTGACCTGATAGCTCAGGAATCCTTGGCGAGCCAGTGCTGGGAAGCTTTAGACTTCGATGGCGGTTTAGGGTTTAGGGTTTAGGGTTTAGGGTTTAGGGTTTAGGGTTTAGGGTTTAGGGTTTAGGGTTTAGGGTTTAGGGTTTAGGGTTTAGGGGCTTACAGCTAGGCACTCCGATGGGCTTCGGGCTTAGAGGATGGGGTTTTGCGTCAGGGTTTTTCAGTCTGAAGTTGGTTGCGCTAACAAAGTATGTGTATAGATGTACATCTAGGCGTGTAGAAGCAAGCATATATATATATATATAGATGTAAGTATATGTGCACATGTAACTGTCTACCATTCATTTAGGCGCATTTCCCTAAATCGGTCACCCTAAGCTCTGGAACCCAGACTGCCAAGAGGCCCAGAAGCTCCGCGTCGGTGCGCAGATTTTTGAGATCCCAGGGCGAGAGCAGCACCTCGGAGGGAAGGAAGGCGATGTTTCTAGGGTTTAGGGTTTGGGGTTTGGGGTTTAAGTTTCAGGGTTCTAGGGGTGGGTTTCGGGTTTAAGGTTTTAGGGTTCTAGGGGGTCAGGCTTCTGGGCAAGGAAGGCGAGGTTTCTAGGGGAGGCTTCAGGGTGTTGGGTTTACATTTTTTGTACCTAGGGCGGAGAGAACTTGGGGTGAAGGGCGTTACATATTTATATATATATATGTATATATATCTCTCTCTCTATCTATCTATCCATCCTATATTTTCCACATGCCTACACATACATATAATTATAGACAATTACATATACGCATACGTTTTTTCGGTGCTTTTTGGGTAATGACGTGCAAGTAGTGCAAAACGCATGTTCTGTACTATTCGCACGGGTTTTCACACAGAATCAGACATCCCGAAAAAGTACGTCGGCGTACATGCTCAACATGTCATCTTTGTCGGTATTTACGAGTGTTTTCCGAGGAAGAAAAGAAACCTAGATCATGCCGGGGGGGCGGGGGTTGACCATCTGCATGTTTATATATATATATATATATTATATGTCTATACTTTTTACGTGTCTGTACTCTGTACACATGTGCACATATTGGCTATTTGGGCCATAGTGCAGTCGACAGGTTTCGTGGGCTGCGTTACAGGAGCGTCCTGCAGTCGGGGCGCTGTCCGGTAACCCAGCTCGCGGAGAGTGTGGTGGCGGACGCGGCGCGAGATTGGCCACGTCACCAAGTCCAGATCGATCACCAGAGCTGACCTTGTCCAGGACTGCTGGAGGGAAGGATTGGGTTTCGGGTTCACGGTATGTATGTAGAAATATATATAGGCGCTTATCGGGCTCATTTACAGAGGGTTTACAGATTTCAAGAAGTATCTTCGCCCTATCCTAGGCTGAGCTACGGGGCGGCAGAGTCCAGCTCTTGGTAGGGTTTAGGGTCGAGTGTAGGGGCCTCAAAAATTAGAATAGGGTTTTGGGGTTTAGTATGGTATAACTAAAGAGGGACCAGAAGGGAATACTATCAGTAATTCTTCTGAACCCTGTACTAGGGCATAGGCACTGCCCACATCTCACAGTCCGCCCGAAAACCCCGAGCTTCTCAAAAATCCGCTAACGCAAAGTATTAGAGGGCCTTTATGGGTTTCATGAGCTTCGTAGGGCTGTTAAGGGCTTAGTGCTAGGACTTTATAAGGCCCAGCAGGGGTTAGGTTCAACAGACCTAGACCATCCTGTTTGGAGGGTAAACCGGCTCCTGAAAAAAACGCTTATTTTAGGGTTTAGGGTTTAGGGTTTAGGGTTTAGGGGTTTGCCTACACCCCTCAACGCTCCCAAGGCGTTCGTCATCTTTCTGGGGCTACGGCTTCTCGTGAAAGAAGTCAACCACAAAGGGGCCCACAGCGGCTTGCACTCTCCTGGGACACTGGAAGCCCTAAACCTTACACCCTACAGTAAACTCTAAACCCTGAACCCCTAACCCCAAACCCTAAACCCTGAACCCCCCCCCCCCCCCCCCCCCCCTCCGATTTGCTTTGGCAGTCTCTGGGAGCCCAATCCCCCGTCACGAGCTTCAGTTCGAAGGTTTTGGGCTTCGGGGAGCCCAGGCTTCTTCAATTGAGGAAGAGAGCTTACATGACATAGGGTTTAGGGTTTAGGGTTTAGGGTTTAGGGTTTAGGGTTTAGGGTTTAGGGTTTAGGGTTTAGGGTTTAGGGTTTAGGGTTTAGGGTTTAGGGTTTAGGGTTTAGGGTTTAGGGTTTAGGGTCATTGTGACAAAGCCATGAAGATGTCTTTGGTTTTTTTGGGTGGGAACAGTGGGAATGGGCGTATCGCAACTTCTGAGCGCAGTTAACAGAATTCGGGAAGGGCCTAACTGAGAAATTAGAGCACGATACATGGCGAGTCAAACCAACTCCGTGGTCGCCTTCTCGTTAAACCCTGAACCCGACACCTAAACTCTAAACCCTCTAAACCCTAAACCCTTTGTCGCTGGCCCACTATCTGGCACATCACCATCTGGACCATCATGCTGCCAAGCATGGTATTGTCTCTTTAGGAACCTAATCACCTGTCGCAATGCTTGCTCAAAGCAGGCTGTTGGCTTGGACTGTCCCTGCGAAAGAATGGACATCCATCGACTGAGGTCAGGCCTTGACTGACCCCACCATGCAATCCGGCCCAGTACTGCTCGGTATCTGGCTGCTCTTTCATGCTCTTTCGGGTTAAACCCTAAGCCCTACGCCCCAAAGCCTATAAGTCCTAAACCATCAAATCCCCAGACAACACACTAAATCCTACACCTTCGCAGCACCCCCAACTACCCTGTAACCATAATTGTAGGGTATGATAGCCCCCTTTGTTTAAGGTAGTTGGGGGGTGCAACCCTAAACCCTAAACCCTAAACCCTAAACCCTAAACCCTAAACCCTAAACCCTAAACCCTAAACCCTAAACCCTAAACCCTAAACCCTAAACCCTAAACCCTAAACCCTAAACCCATCCCAAACAGATTCCCGTAAAGGCTCGGAGACTCCAAATCCGGCTGGCCGGGAAACGGCTGGCGCCACACCCGCGCAACCTCCGGACTGCAAAAACGCACACACACACACACACACAAAGGTGTAGGGTTTAGGGTTTAGGGTTTAGGGTGTAGAGTGTAGGGTTTAGGGTTTAGAGCAGTTTAGGGTTTAGAGTTTCTCTGGATACTTGTAACTCTATTGATAAGCCTACATATAACCTACTTAGAGGACTTAGGGGCCTTATAAGTACAGCTAGAAATGGGGTTAGAAGTACCCATGAACCTCCAAGCAGAAACCTTGAACATAAACCTACCGTAGTCGTTTCATGGTCGAGCAAGGGATTCTGGAGGCGTGCGCGGCATCGTGGGATTTTGGGCTTGTGGTCGTTGAGGGCTTTTGAGGGTTTGGGGTCTGGGGCTTAGGACCTTTGAAGGCATTTAAAAGGGCATTGGAAGTGTTTGGGGGTATTGGCTGTAAGGATGAGGGGTTCAAGGGATAGAAATACCCCAAAAAGGGCTTATGATGCGGATCCACCCCTCTGTAGCGAGCTAACATACAGGTGCACTGTGCACGTTGCAGGTGCGCAGCAAGACAGAAAGAAAGCAAGAAAGAAAGAATGAAAGAAATAAGTAGGAAAGAAAGAAACAAAAAAAGGAAGGAAAGAAGGAAAGGATAAAGGAAGAAAGAAATTCAGAAAGCAAGAACGAACAGCACCCTGACAGTCAAGACCCCAAAAAGGGGTCCTAACTTAAAAATATATTCGCACGCAAAAAGCTTGCTAGGTTCTGTGTGCCCCTATGATATGGCTTTCCATAATACGGAGCCTTCTATATGTACGGGTACCCCCCCACACACGGCTCATGAAAAGGAGAGCCCGAAACCTTGAACCCTGAGCCCCGGCCGAAAACTCCACAAGAGTCCACCAGAGCCGCCGATCCCAATCCATGGACCTCCAACTAGGCTGCCCAGTAACCTAGGCTTAAAAAGGGTGCACTTTTTTTTGCTTAAAGGGGTTTATAAGGGAATCTAAACCTCCCAAATAGGGAATAAGGGTACTACTGGGCATCCCAGCCAAGTAGGGTTTGGGTTTGAGTGTTGATTGGGTCTAGCGGTTCATCTGAGTAATGCCCACCTGCTTGTGCTGCGGGGAGGCCGCCAGCCTCTGCGCCTGCCACTTTGGTATGCAGGGAAGGACGAGGGTGCAGCTCAGGATTAGCTGCACGATCCAGGTTGTGTCCGAATCGCCACGCCATGCCTACTTCTGAGGGCGGCACAACACTATGAAACCCGACTGCTTATGAGAGACAGGCGGGGGAACAGACGACACACAGGTGACTGTCGTTTGCCCCTACGTCTATGTGGGCGGAGTCACAGTCTACATACACACGACACGCAGGCGACGACTCATGAGTTCACCCAGGGGCGTGCCAGCAACTGACAACTAGGGCTTAACCGCAAAACCGAAGAAGACAAGTGTGAGAAGTGAGAATGGCTCATACAACGGGCCAGATGAGCGGGGGGGCCAGGGCTCAGGAAACGATGGAGGTCAGTTTAGCCGCGGCTAGGGATTAGGTTTCAGGGATCCTGGATTGGTTTGTGTGAAATCAACCAGCGGCAGCGGCTCAAACACAAGAGCGAAGAGCAGAGACACACACGACATCGCTAAAACGTACATGGAGGTATGCATCATCCGTGCGACCTGCACGCAAGAACCCAGCTGCCGCAATCTAGCAAATTGAGACTAGTAGTTCTAGTAGTGTTAGTTCTGGTGACACTGAAACCCTAACCCCTAACCCTCACCCCTAAGCCATGAAAAGCCGTCAACCCCAAAAAAGACCAGCGCCCCCAAACCCGAAACAAACCCTAAACCGTGATGATCTCCTGAGAACCCCGAAAAACCCAAACCGATGCAAACCCTACGCCCGAACAAAAACCGAAAACCCTGACGCCAGGGCGTGGGCAAAACGAGGGATGTTGCTTACTAGTACTACGACGACTACTTGGAGGTTCATGGGTGCTTATAATAAGTACACCCCCCCCCCCCAATTATCAGTCAACTTATCACCTACTTCGGAAGTACAGTGATGAATTGAGGCTCGAAGTACCCTGAACACTAGAGTTGGCTCCAGCAACCATATGCATGTAGAATTCAACACGCGTCACATGACTCATACTTTCGAACCAAGCAAGCAAGCAAGTACCCTGAACCTCCAAGTACTACGACTTCGCTGCAGACCTACTCGGGTGCCTCATCCTTGGCCGCCGCGGCGGCAGTCCGGCGCAGGTCGTCCTCCTCCACTCCCAAGAAGGCCAGGACCTGGTGTAGGATTTAAGGGTTTGCGGGTTTTTAAGATTGCAAGGGTTTAAGGGTTCAACAGGTTGAAGGGTTTAAGGGTTTAAGGGTTTAAGGGTTTAAGGGTTCAACAGGTTTAAGGGTTGAAGGGTTGAAGGGTTGAAGGGTTTAAGGGTTTAAGGGTTTAAGGGTTTAGGGGTTTAGGGGTTTAGGGTCTAGGGTTTTGAGTTCAGGGACTTTGGGGCGACCTTAGGCTTCAGTTTGAAAGGCTGCGTGAGTTTAGGGGTCCCTAAACCCTAAACCCTAAACCCACCCTAAACCCTAAACCCTAAACCCTAAACCCTAAACACTAAACCCTAAACCCTAAACCCTAAAACCAAAACCCTAAACCCTAATCCTTTGGCTTGGTGTGCTCAGCGTTAGGGTGCGGGGCCTTCTCTAGCATGACGCTGCTCTAACAATCGTAGCAACACACTCAAGGTGAAAACCCAAGAGGCTTACCTGTGGGACTCTATTTACCTGCCGTTTAGTAGTAACTACCCCTTAGTTAGTAGGTATAACCCACTAAACCTTGGCTGCTCTTAGCAGGGTAGCTATAAATTTTATTTTTAGCTGCCTTGTTTCTTAACCCAATAAACCCAAAAAGGCTAACGATGTAAAGTTACAGTAAAGCACCACAAAGAAACTGTAGGTAAAGAGACTTCCAGGTCATCGTTTGGCTCCAAGTGGCATCGTTGAGCTTGATGAGGGCGATGGTCGACCCGACCAGCGATGGATCTTGAGAGCAGTGCTTCAGGATGCCGTCGAGCACCTGCTGCGGGTTTAGGGTCTAGGGTTTAGGGTTTAGGGTTTAGGGTTTAGCCCCCACCAGCAAACCTTGAGCATTGAGACAGCTTGCTTCACAACGAAAACATGATCAGAGACTCAAGTAGGTTCCCTTCTTCTTGCCGTCTCCGGCACGTAGCGGTATTTATGCGAGAGCTCCAGCGCACACCTCGCACACGTCAAGAGCATGAGCTGGGGGTGTGGTGCTTTCAGAATGCAAGCTAGAGGGGATTCAGTAGAGAAGCACATGGTTGATAGACGATGCAAGGCGATCAAGCCCCTACCCCTCCAAAGAGACCCTCACCCGCTCACTCACTCACTCACTCACACTCTCTCTCTCTCTCTCTCTCTCTCTCGCTCGCCTTTCTGGGCCCCCAGCCACAACACCAGTGCCCAGATCTCAAGGGTTCTCCTAAGTGTTTCGGGCTCCCAGTGCGGCAGGAGGTGCAGCGCCCATGCCACGTCGATGTCCGCACGTGGGTCAGATTCTTGGGCTTCTGCTGCATACTGGGCCTCTGCAAGGGCCAGCCAAGAAGTCCTAAACCCCTCCGTTCAGGGTTTTAGGGTTTAGGGTTTAGGGTTTATAGGGTTTAGGGCGCTAGGTGTTGCCTGGATTTCTGGCTCAAGGGCTTGGGGCCCCAAATGGAGTTTAGAGGGCGGGAGGGGGGGGGGTCAACACCCTCTGCACGAACCCCACTCTGTGACTACTACCTCATTTTTGGCGTAGGGTTTCGGGGCTTGGGGCTTAGGGTCTAAGAGGTCTGGGCCTGATATGTGATTGAGGTGAAGCTGGTAGAAGCGTTCAGGGAGGAACCTGCCACCCCTCTCCCCTCCTCCCGCGACTTTTTCAGGGTTTCAGGCTTGGAGGCAGGGCTGTTTGGTAACGAGGAAGCTGGCATCTGATGCAGTCCAGGTTCCAGGTTTGACCGCGTTGGGTGCAGCAAGCTATCTGGGGGATTCCGAAATTAGGGGTACCTTCTTGGGGTTCCTTACTACAAAAGGGAAAATTACTATTTGAAATTAGGGGTACCTTATTCTTGGGGGTCCTTACTATAAGGGAATCTTACTATTTGGAGGGGTCTATCTTAAGGGTCCCCTACTCCCATCTGCGGCCCACGTTCAACTTGTCGACTGCTAGAACTCTACAAAATTGTGCTGCTAGAGCGCTGTTCACCCTAAAGCCCCTAACCCGAAGCCAGGCCAATCCTTCAAAACCTCAAGGATCCCAGGCCCCCTAAGCGCCTAAACTCCGAACTGACACTTTTAGGGCTTTTTGGGCTTACGGCTCTCCCTAAACCCTAAACCCTAAACCCTAAACCCTAAACCCTAAACCCTACACCCTAAACCCTAGGGCTGAGGGTTCAAGCTCAAGATGCTGCAAGGACCCCGAAGATTTCCACGGGTGATGTCACGCCACTCAGGGCCAGGGCGAAGAGGAGCCTTGCAGGGTTTAGGGTTTAGGGTTTAGGGTTTAGGGTTTAGGGTTTAGGGTTTAGGGTTTAGGGTTTAGGGTTTAGGGTTTAGGGTTTAGGGTTTAGGGTTTAGGGTTTAGGGTTTAGGGTTTAGGGTTTAGGGTTTATGTATGGGGTTTGTGTCCGGGGTTTAACCGGTTTTTTCTTTTGCTTTTGAAAGAAATGTTTTTGTGATGGCAGGCTTGGAGAGGCCTTGGTGTAGGGGTGGGAAGGGGGGGGGGGGGGGGCAGGGGGTGGGGGGTGGGGGTGCTCCCGAACTACCCGATGTCAGGCCAAGGGGTACAGGGGGTTGGTATGGAGATGTTTTGGGGTGGGGTGGGTGGGTGGGTGGGGGACGTGCTTGGGCCCTGTCGAAATTGTAAGTTCGGATTGAAACACAAACAATTTCCATTTATCTAGGGTTTAGGGTTTATGGTGGCTTCAGGGTTTAAGGCTCCCGGATTTGGCTTTTTGGGGTGAAGGGTGTAGGTCCCGAGTAGCATCGGAAAACAAACAGGGGGACCCTTTTTGCTGTTTAAAGGTGTTCATAAGGGAATCGAACACTCCCCCCCAAAAAAATGAAGAAAAAGGGAATAAGGGCCGACTCTGTGTCCTAGCAAACAGTATGTTCAAAGGACCCTGGCTTTCGAACTGTGTTGCTGGTGACGTAGCGGGCTCAATGAGGAGTCGGGAAGCAATAACGGCTAAACCCCTAGTGGCCGGACTCACAAAAATGCCCCCAGCCCTTAAAACCTTAGCAGTCCTACGCTTAGCCTCCAAACCCTGAACCCTTACGACCTCGTATAATCCTAAAGGTCCTAATCACTGAATGGTCGGGGTTTTGTGGGAAACCTGCTGGCCTCGCGGTATCGCGGCGCGTAAGCAGCCCGAGTTGCGGCGTCATAGCTTGGAGGAGCTCCTGGGAAAAGAAAGGGACAAGGAGAAGAATTCGGAGGGGTGGGTGGGGTCGGGGAGGTTAGGTTATCCAGTGATCCGGAAGCCCAAAACACCATAAACCCGTAGCCTTGCCGCCCAAAAGCCCAAAGCCGTGACCCTTCAACCATGAACCTTACGCGATTCATGAAGCACGCTAGATGCCCGAGTAACCTTGAAACCCCGTCAGCCCCAAAATCCGATGAACCCTGCACTAACTCAAAAGGCCCGATGATTCCTACAAAACCCTGGAAGCCCGGCAATCTGCCCTTGAGAGCCTGAGCGTCTTATGAACCCTAAACCCTGAACCCTAAACCCTAAACCCCCTAAACCCCCTAAACCTCCAAAGCCCTAAACGCCTAAACCTCGATAATCACCCCCAAACAACCCTATGAACGTCGATGAACCCTAAAAACTCTTCAAACCCCTTAGTAACCCTAAACCTGAGACCCCCACACCCGAAACGCAAACCCTGTAACCTGAGCTCTTTTGGCCCTCAAAGCCCTATGAACCCTAAACCCTAAACCCTAAACCCTAAACCTAAACCCTAAACCCAAAGCCCTAAGCCCTAAGCCCTAAACCCTAAACCCCAAACCCCTAAACCCAAACCCAAAACCTTTTTTGACTGTCCAAGCCCTCTGAACCCGAATAAGGACGCCAGGTCACGTCCACATCGCGCTGCGCCAGGAAGCGCAATCTTGCAAGCCTTGGGCTGGAGGAGTGTGGGGTTTAGGGTTTAGGGTTTAGGGTTTGAGCTTTAGCGGTTTAGTGGTTTAGTGGGTTGATGGTCTAGGGCTTAGGGGGTTCGGGGTTTATGCTCTGTCTGCGTAGGAGCCTGCTCCTTGGCCCCAACAACCTTTGCCTGCCAGAGGCTTCAGGGCTCCGCAACTTAGTTGCAAAAGGAGATCCCAACTTCCTACTATTTGCTTAAGAACCACCCGAAAAAATCTCTATATTACCTTATAAGGAAGAATATTTCTTTTCTTTTGGGGGGGGTTCTTAAGCAGTTCGTAGCTTAAGGGCCACTTGCAGTGCGGACCCAGGCGCGAGTGACTGATGGACACAAGCTGAGTCGGCGAGAAGGACCAGAGGCTGCCTCTGTAGCCCTAAACCCTAAACCCTAAACCCTAAACCCTAAACCCTAAACCCTAAACCCTAAAACACTAAGGACTTAAACCAAGTCCCAAGAGTTGGACTCCATAACTATCATATGACTGCAAGAGAATTTTAATGTCAGGGTAACCAAAGAATCTAATTAGGGTTTGGGGTTGAGGGTCTAGGGTTGACGGTTTAGGGCTAAAGGTTTAGGGAACTTAGTGACGAGGGTTAGACGCAATTCGGTGACCCAACTGAAGGCACTCATAGCTCAGGACTCGTAACCCTAAATCCTAAACCCTAAACCCTAAACTCTAAAACCCTAAACCCCAAACCCTAAAGCCTCGAGCCGGTGTGGACTGAATGTTTTTCACGTCTGCTGAACTAAGGGCGGAAAAGCTTGTTGAGAAACTGTTCTCGAGACCTTTCTCGAACCTGAGTCCTGAAACATCTCAACACACCCCGTTTAGGGTTTAGGGTTTAGGGTTTAGGGTTTAGGGTTAGGGCCCGTATCGTGCTGGGTACCTGAAGAGTCCTTAATGACGAACCAATCGCATTTTGGGGCTCTTCGGGAAAGGGCTTTGGGGCGTTTAGCGGGCCCTGAACGCAATCTAACGCAGGGGCCTGGATAATTAGATCAGGGTTTTGGGGGTTATCACAGTATAATTATAAAGGTCGTAATTATAAAGGGACTGTAAGGGAGCACTATTAGTAAATATTCCGACCCCAATAGTCTGGCCCCTTCTTGAGTATCCTGGATCTAAGGGCCCTTATCATGGAAGAAACGGGCCCCGATGCAGGATTCGTCACCCCCCCCCCCCCCCAAGCTGCCGCTCTCTCCAAAGGAAGAAGTGCTCCAAATAGATTGTGAACATACAACCACCAAGGCCCATATTGTGTGGAAGTGGTTCTAACATCACGGAAACACGGGCGACAAAGCAACGCGGCTGAGTGCATCCAGTTGCGAAAGGTGAGCTGGCAAAGCCTTGGCTGCTGCCAGTTGCTGTGTCCTAACCCATTCCTAACCCTGAACCCTAAACCCCAAAACCCAAACCCCAAACCCTAGCCCTAAACCCCTCATTATAAAATCCGATCCTGTGGTGACCACCACCCACGCAGCCAAAAGGCCAACCTTCATCCCAAGGGTTGAGGTTTAGGGTGAACCCTGAACTATGCCTGAAGGCTCAGGGAATTTAGCAAGTAGGTAAGAAGTAAGAAGTGAGCCTGTGTAACCCAACTTCGGATACTTAACAGCACCCACACTAAGTTCCGCCTTTAGACAATGACACTTTGAGCGCGCCCAAGCATTCCTGAGCCCAGAAGAGCATGGATTCCGAGCTGAAAGCCCCTGAAATCTCTGGCGCCAGAGGGTTTAGGATTTAGGGTTTAGGGTTTTCTAAATAGTTTAGCGGTTTAGGGGTTTAGGGGTTTAGAGGTTTAGGGATTTCTAAATAGGGAAGCCCTCCACCTCCAACATCACTTCGCTAAGGAGTATTCCTTTCAAGAGGATCAAGCCGCTAAGGACATCTGTCTTCAGGTATATTTCTAAACTAAGGGCGCTTGGGCCTAAACCTTCTAATTTCTTTAAAGTGATATGGGGGCCTCCATGGACTATTTCTTGGCTGCACTTAGGAGGGTAGCAAAAAACTAAATTTTTAGCGGCCTTATTAAGAAACCCAATAAACCCAAAAAGGCTAAGGATCTAAAGTTACAGTAAAGAACCACAAAGTACTTGAGCTCGGAGGCTTGCGGATGATGGTCGCGCGCATCTGGCCAAGCCTCACTTCCACGGGGTGTTTAGGGTTTCTAGGATGACTGAGGGTTTTAGGGGCTTTCGTGTTTTTTTCTTAGGGTTTCTAGGGCTTCTAGGGCTTCTAGGGTTTCTAGGGTTTCTAGGGTTTCTAGGGTTTCTAGGGTTTCTAGGGTTTCTAGGGTCACTTCCATTCGGCTGCTTCTGGGTTTAGGTGTGGGGGGCTCTGACGGGTTTCAAACGGGGCCTTGGAAGTAGATGTACAAACATGTACATGTCTAAACATGTGTTTGTACGAATGTTCTCTATATATATATATATTATAGATATTATCCACACACACACACACACACTGGTACACAAATTAAAGCATCTTGATGTGGCTTGTTTGTGGCGGCCGTTGTCGTCAAGATGTCGACACCAAACCCTGGACTCTTAACTAAGGTCCAAGTTGCTTGGCCAAAACTTCCAAGATCCCAGTGACGTCACGTGTGGACAGGGCCTCGTCCAAGATATCCTGCTCCCAGCTTATTTAGGGAGAATTAAGCCTCATTCAGGTCATTTAGGGGGGGAATCTAGGGGGTTAGTAGCTGCCTGTTTCGTTTATCACCTCATGGGCTGGCTTTTTTTGGGCATCTGCGCTTTTCGCCATGGGGTTCGAAGCACGAGATCCAGCTCAAGAAGCGCTCGGTGGCAGTGGGGAGGGACTAAGCAACCCTAAACCCTAAACCCTAAACCCTAAACCCTAAACCCTAAACCCTGGTAGCCAAGCATGATGCCCGAAACCTTGAACAACAAGCCCATCCCTTTCCCTTTCCAGACCTTGGAAACCCTGGCAAAAACCCTTATTTTTTTGCTGGTTTCTTAGGAATTACTTAAAGTACACCAAAAAACGTTTTAAACAAAAAAACATGTCAAAAAAAAACAAACAAAACGCCGAAGTATCCCTAAGTGTCCAAGGTCCTCCACGCGCGCCAACACCATGTTGGTCAACTCAGCATCCTGGGCGGCGGAGGTGGAGTTGCAACCTCCTTCAGCAAGCAACTTTTTCTGTTGGTTCGTAGTGAAAGAGGTGCCCAATGTAACTAGGCTGCCCAGTAACCTAGGCTTAAAAAGGGTGCCCTTTTTTGCTTAAAGGGGTTTTATAAGGGAACCTAAACCCCCCAAAAAATATGTAGGCAATCATTCCCTCATTCCCTGCTAAGCAACAGTAAGGCAAAGAGGTCCCCCTTGCCAAGGCCTCCCAAATCCATGTGAACCCCAACGCCCTAGACCCCCTCAGAGCCCCAAAAGCCCCAAAGCCCCTAAACCCTAAACCCGAAACCCTAAACCCTAAGCCCCTAAACCCTAAACCCCCTATACCCAAAAAGGGCCGTTGAGTGCAAGGGCCAGGCTCCACGACTCCCCAGCGTAGAAAGGCCTCCATGAGATGCACGCAGGAGCCGAAGCGGAAGTCCTGGCACAGAGAATGGTTGGGTGTTTAGGGTTTAGGGTTTAGGGTTTGGGGTTTAGGGTTTAGGGTTTAGGGTTTGGGGTTTAGGGTTTAGGGTTTAGGGCTTAGGGCTTAGGGCTTCGGGTGCGCGCGTCGAGGTGTGCTGCGGCCCCTGGAGCAAAAGCCAGCCCGAGGTCTGTGTGACACTCGCAGAATTTGAGGGCTCAGGGGGTTAAATTAAATAAGGCAAACCCTAAACCCTAAACCCTAAACCCTAAACCCTAAACCCTAAACCCTAAACCCTAAATCCTAAGCCACTCTACAAAGGAGGTGTACCTTAGTTCCCTTCCCTAAACAACTGTACATACATCCCAATACCCCTTGGCACGCTAAGCGACCAAAACCCTAAACCATCCTAACCCCCAAAGCCCTAAAGTTTAGGGCTTAGGCTTTAGGGTTTGGGGTTTAGGGCACGAGCAGTTCCATGAATCTAAGCCCGTGATTGCCATGCCTTCCTTGACCCCTAAACCCTAAACCCCAAACCCTAAACCCTAAACCCTCAACCCTAAACCCTAAACCGGGCTTGACGGTCGGGGTGAAAACAGCGGTCATCTCCGACGCTGTTGCCCCTCGCTTGCCTCCACCAGCCACGCCGAAGATGACCTCAACGGTCACCCTAAACCCTAGACCCTAGACCCTAAACCCTAAACCCTAAACCCTGGTCTTCGGCCAGGCGGTAGTGTCCCATCGTCTTCCTTGGCTTGCATGCGATGTCGTTGCCTCGGAGCAAAAGCATCGCCGACTTCATCTTCTTCTGCGAAAGCCCGGGGAAGACACTTGTAGCAATCAACCCCCTAAACCCTAAACCCTAAACCCAACGCCCTAAACCCTAAACCCTAAACCCTAAACCCTAAACCCTAAACCCTAAACCCTAAACCCTAAACCCTAAACCCTAAACCCTAAACCCCAAAACCCCAAAACCCTAAACCCTCACCTGCTTAATCGTCATCTTGTTGCGCACCTTGATGCTAACCCGGCCCCCAGGGTGTGCTTTGCGGCGCCATGTCCACATGATACTTCCGGCTGGACGCCCGAAACCCCTCAAACCCTGAAACCCTTAGTCCCTACACCCCTGAATCCGCGAACCCTAAACCCGATCCCGAAACGCCTAAACGCCAAGTCCAAATCCCAAACCTCAGTTCCTGAACCCTAAACCCCTAAACAGAACCCTAAACCCTAAACCCTAAACCCCAAACCCCAAACCCCAAACCCCAAACCCCAAACCCCAAACCCCAAACCCCAAACCCCAAACCCCAAACCCCAAACCCTAAACCCTAAACCCTAAACCCTAAACCCTTACTTACACAGGAGCTCCTGAAGCTGCCGCAGCGATTCCGCGCGGACGAAAGCAACTGCAGAACCCAGGTGGCCTCCGGGACTAGGGTTTAGGGTTTAGGGCTAGGGTTTAGGGTTTAGGGCTTATGGATTAGGGTTAGAGTTTAGGGTTCAGGGGGCTTAAGGGGCCTAAGGGTTGAGGGGTTTAGTGCCTTAGGGTGTGGGGTTGTAGGTTTTAGGGTTTCAGGGCTTTGGGGCTGAGGGGTTTAGGGATGCCAGGGCTTTAGGGGTTTCAGGGTTTAGGGTGTAGGGCTAGGGGGTTTAGGGTTTTAGGGTTTTAGGGTTTAGGGTTTAGGGTTTAGGGTTTAGGGTTCGAGCATTTAGGGTTTCAGGGCTTAGCTTTCTGGGACCAAGCTGGTAGCCGACAATCGCTCTTGAATGCAGGTGGACGACCAGGCCAACGCGTGCATAATGGCATCGAGAACTTCTTGCACAGGGTCCCTTGGCACACATTGAAACTTGATCTCCCCCGACATGAAGGAAAATTGACCTCGAGGGGTTCTGACCTGTCATGATTTCCCCTTAGCACCGTCGAGCCATAAACCAATCGGGAGAAGTTGGAGGCTTCGGGGCTGAACGCCCTAGCCCCAAAAACGCTAACATTTGTTGTCGTAATAGCACTATATATCACCAAAAGGTTAAAGGTTAACTACCCAGCCCCTACTGTAACCTACTGTAACCTACTGTAAGACTTGCCAAGCCAGATGTGGAAGGTCCCTTTCGGAGGGACCCCCAAACTAGTCAGATTCCGGTATAAGAAGGACCCCAAGGGCACTCAGGGCTCGCACCTCAAATTGAGGTTTGTAGAAGACACACCTAGCATGGTCCCTGTCTGCCCTAAGGTGCCCGTTTACGATGCGCAGGGCTTGGGGCTACCGTCTTGCTCATTTCGGGTTCAGGGTGTAGGGTGTAGGCTGGAGGGTTTAGGGTTTGGGGCCAGGGTGTAGGGTCTTAGGGTCTTATAGTTCACAGACTGGGTGTACCATCCTAAACCCTAAACCCTAAACTGACCCTAAACCCTAAACCCTAAACCCTAAACCCTAAATCCTAAACCCTAACCCCTAAACCCTAAACCCTAAACCCTAAACCCTAAACCCTAAACCCTCTGAAAACTCGAAATCTTCTCCTCCAGGGTATGTGTGCCTCAAAGGCCCGGACTTGAGAACCCCCGGCCAATCCTTCGGAGGTACCGGACCTCCATGGAACTTAGTAGGCTATGACCGGGCATACACATACTCTTAGATTTGGTTATCCTAATCATAACCTGGGTTTAGGGTTTAGGGTTTAGGGTTTAGGGTATATGGTTTAGGGTTTAGGGTTTAGGGTTTAGGGTTTAGGGTTAGGGTTTACCAGACCTACTTCCTAAGCTCACATTAGACTTAAGGTTAGTATGGAGGCCCAAATGCCTGCGGTTCGATCCGTGGGAGGACCACGAACACGCTGGGCCGCAAGTGCGCAAGCCAGAATAGAGAGGTCCTGCCACTCTTTACCCTAAACCCTAAACCCTAAACTCCGAACCCAATGCCCGAAACCTTTGACCCTGAACCCCTAAACCTGAAGCCCTAACTCCCCAGGGTGACGAGCTGGGGTACGTGGGAAGGGTCTATGGTTGAACTGGGTTGCTGCTACGGAATCTAGAGTGTAAACTCTGCCACACATATGCGCATGGTAACTCATTTCGAGTGTTACTGAACACAGAAAACCCCAAGCCCTACGCATATACCAGAAGCGCTGCAACCCTACAAACCCTGAACCTTTAAACCCTACAAGCCCTAAACCCTAAACCCCAAACCCTAAACCCTACGCCCGAAACCCTAAAACCTAAACCCTAAAGGCTTTCCGGTCCTGAGGGCTGATCGCATTGTGGCGCTGCGTGGCCACCTGCGGCTTGGGGTCAAGGCAACATTCCAAGAAGAGTTTGGATGCTTGTAGTACGTATCATATATATATATATATATATATTACTGTATATATATATATATATATGTAACTATAATACTGTGTACATGTAAACACAATGTTTTCAGTGAATATATATATATATATATGTACATATGTGTATATATATATACATACACATACATAAGAAGCCGTTGCTCCTTTTGACTTAGGGCTCTGCATAATTAAGGAATCTCAACGCTGTCCGCAAGAAAGGAAAAAGAGAGAGCGAGAGAGAGAGAGAGAGAGAGAACAAAAACAAAGAGAAGCAAACACAGCAATAAAAGGGCAACGCTCAGAGAGCTGTGGCTCTCCGCAAGCACGTAGGTCACCATAAAGTTTATGGCATAAACACAGGGTTTAGGGTTTAGGGTGTAGGGTGTAGGGTTTAGGGTTTAGGGACAGGCTGCCTTGGCGCGGAGCTTCGGGCATGTTCAGCTGTCAGAAATGGCTCAGAACCTTCAAGAGACGGACCTGTGAAGCCTTCGAAGTTCGCAAGTACAGCATTTTCGCTCGCTCTCTCTCTCTCTCTGTCTCTCTCTCTCTTCCGACGCCAGGCTAACCAGACAAGGATACATTGCAAGCACACGTACCCAACAACGCAGTTCAACGCAACATGTCTGAAAATTCTCCAAACAAAGCTGCAACACGAAACAAAGCTGCACCCCAACAGCCCCCTGAATGTCCTTCAGCCCTATATACATACACCCTAATATAGGGGCCTTAAAAGATTGGAATAGGCTTTGTGTAATTATTACGACCTCTATAGTACACCCCTGATGCCAACCTCTGCAATGCGCTCCGTGAGGTCTGACACCTCTGGAGACTTCACCTTCTCCCAGCACGCGCTGTCTTTCGGGGTTGCGGCGGAGTCCAGGGCTTCGGGCGGGGTGGGGGCGCTTTAGGGTTCAGGGTTTGGGGCTTCGGGGTGACGGGGGGGGGGGGGGGGCTTTTGGGGGCTACAGGCAGGGTTTTTGTTTACAGACTTCGTCTTTCGGTCTCTTGTGCTTTTTTCAGCCTCGCTACAGGGCTTTGGGAAGCCCCCTCGGTCCTAAGCCCAGAAAAAGTGTAAAACAAAAGCCAAAGGGCCCCGTATTCCCCGAGGCTGATTCAGTTGCTTCTTTGGGACGAAGGCCTTCGGGGAAGATGGGTCCTTTACATCCTTATACTTGAAGGTTCATGGTACTTACTAACCAATTATAACTGTACTTATAACCCTACTTATAATACCCCTAAAGGGCCTTATAGGGGTTATCCCAATTGTAAGTAGGGTTATAAGCCCAGTTATAATTGGTTAGTAAGTACCATGAACCTTCAAGTAGCCACCCTGGTTCCTCATGATAAGCCCTAAACCCGATCTTCCTCTCTCGCTCTCTCATTCCCCTGGCCCGAAGTAGGAATTCTAAGTCCTTTCTTCCCCCTATATATGTCCTCTGAAGGATTCTATCGCGTTCCTCGTTCCCTCATTCCGCAAGAACCAGTAAGCGTTGCGAGCTGATTCACGCAAAGCTTAGCAGAACCCGAATCCTAGATCCCCACGACGTGCTCCAACATCCTTAACCCCCGAGCTCCCCTAGACTTAGCTTTCCTTAGAACCATCATAAAACGATGATGTTGCGGATAAGCCCTACACCCTAAACCCTAAACCCCAAACCCTAAACCCTCAACCCTAAACCCTAAACCATACATTAAGCTCGATATGCTTTCCTTTCATGATTTTGTTGATCTTATCTCTTGCATAAACAAGAACTCCGAAGGGTCGAGGGACCGCAGGCCCCCCTTGGGGTTTTTGTCGGGTTGCATTGGGGCTGTTATGGACTGTTGGAGTCGCAGGGTTTAGGGTTTAGGGTTTAGGGTTTAGGGTTGAGGGTTGAGGGTCCCTAAACCCTAACATCCGTGGTGCCTCCAGACGCACCACGGCATCGGCGAGCCTGCACGCTGCAGGAGACATGAAATACCAGTTGAAACCTACGCCTGTCCTGTGGCGTCGTAAATATCTTAGACAAAACACCTAAACCATGATGGGGTATTAGGCAACATAATCCCCATGAGCAATCCTATAAAGAGCCTTTTGAAAGCGTTCTAGGAAACTCCCAACATGGAGGGAGATGATCCGATTAGGATCTCCCTCAAGATGCACATCGGGCATGTATCCCCTAAGCCGCAGCGTGGCATGGCAGAGCAAACGTACGTCACTGTTGAAAGCGGTTTAGGGTTTAGGGTTTAGGGTTTAGGGTTTAGGGTTTAGGGTTTAGGGTTTAGGGTTTAGGGTCCAAAGTTAAAGGCTTGCGCGTGCTCAAGAGACATGTAGGGTTACTCGGACGACAAGGCGGGATTGTTCGGCTACAGCCTCAGGCATGCAAAGCACCCGGGACCCGACACATGACACATATGCACCGGAAGCTCGATCGAAATCCCCTAACCCGAAACCCTGAGCTGGAAACCTGCCCCAGTGCGAATCATGGGTGGAGCATGTACAAGGGTGGTTTTCTTGAAGGGATGGGAGTATCCGGACAAGCTCTATAATATCCCATGTGATGAGAGTTGCGAGGCCGTTAACATTGAAAAAAGGGTCCATCACTCGTTTCCGTAGAGCCTGCCATCGCCGCTATGGTGTTGTCGATGCCCCCCCTGGAAGACCCAATGCCCTCAACGACAATGCGACTACCAGAATCCCAACACCCCTGCGGCCCTTGTAAGCCCGAACTGGTCACACAATAACGGGGAAGCCCCAAAGCACCTTTTACCCCAAACCCAAGACCGTTGCAATCAACAATCCTAAACCGAAACCCTAAACCCTAAACCCTAAACCCTAAACCCTAAACCCTAAACCCTAAACCCTAAACCCTAAACCCTAAACCCTAAACCCTTCAACACTAAACCCAAAACCCTTCAACACTAAAAAGATGCCAGGTCACAGCGCCAAAGTGCGCGAGTTGCTCTCGTCCAGACGGCTGCTGAGGGTGTTCATCCTCTGCGCACCCCAGGTTGAAAGGGTTTAGGGTTTAGGGTTTTAGGGTTTAGGGTTTAGGGTTTAGGGTTTAGGGTTTAGGGTTTAGGGTTTAGGGTTTAGGGTTTAGGGTTTAGGGTTTAGGGTTTGGGGCTTAGGGGGGGAAGATGGCGGTGTCAGGGTTGAGGAGCTAGGCAGGCTTGCCAGCAGCCATAATTTCTGAAACTTGAAGACCCTGCTCACTAACCCGCAAACCCTAAAGCCCTAAGCCCTAAGCCCTAAACCCTAAACCCTAAACAAAGCCGAGCCGCAAGACATGGAAGCGGCCATCGCTGCTCAGCCGCTTGGGAGTCCATGCCTACCGAGTTGCTGAGACGAGGTCCCTGAAGGACTAAGGGCTAAGGAGGTTTAGAGTTTAGAGTCTTGGGTGTTTTGGGTGCTTAGGGTTTAGGGCTTAGGAGGGTTCAGGGTACGTGTGGGTGGTTTGGGGTTTAGGGTTTGCGGTATAGGGTTGGGGCCTGGAGGGGTAGGGTAGGGGGAACCTTGCGCCCTGCAAGAAAAAGAGAGTTTCGGGTGCGCTGGGGCCCAAGGGCATGATGGAGGCATCGAGCATGGAGAAGAAAGCAAGCAAAGCCCCTGCGAACGGCCTTTTGCCTAGTTGTCCAGTAACCTGGGGGAATTAAAGGTTAAGCTTTGGGATTATAAGGGGAATATGATACCCCAAAAAGGTTAAAGGCTACCTACTCTACTACTAAGTTATAAGTTTGCAGCCCAAGACATGCCAGGAATCAGGGCAAAACTTCGGTGTGCTGCTGCGCCCTGAGCCTCGAACAGAGTTTTACCCAAGCCCCCGAAACCAGGGCTGTAAGCCCTCCCCTAAATCCTAAACCCTAAACCCTAAACCCTTAACCCCTAACCCCTAAACCCCTAACCCCTAAGCCCAAGCCCAGGACATAGGACCTCTCTGGTTCCACTCAAGGACTCAAGGGCCGACGAGCCCTGGACCCTAAACCCTAAACCTTAAACCCTAAACCCAAAACCCTGAAACTCCTACACCTGCCAAGACTGGAGATGCACGGCCTTCTTGCCCGAATGTCTCGGCTGGCGCATGAAACCGCCAAGCCTCGGGCAAAGTGCGGGAAATCCCCCGCCAAGGAGCGACAAACAGGGATTTTTTCCCAAAAACCCACTCCTAAAAACACTGTTTAGGGTCTAGGGTTTAGGGTTTAGGGTTCAGGGTTTAGGGTTCCCTAAAGCCAAAACCCTGGGCGTAGGGGCCGCATTACGAGTTGCGGACATGCAAAGATGGGTATTCGGTTCTCCTTCATTCGGTGCACCTGCCGCCTTGCTTGCTGGGCATGCTTCCTACTTAGGGTTTAGGGTTTAGGGTTTAGGGTTTAGAGTTTAGGGTTTAGGGTTTAGTTAGTCAGGCCTGCTACTTTTGGTTCCTGATGGGCACCGCTGTAAGAAATCCGGGCCCTCAAATAACCCAGGGCACCACACCCTACATCTCCAAGTGCGCATCGAGAAACCTTGGGCACTAAATGAACCCGAAAAAGGGCCTAAGGTTCATAACCCTAAAGCCTAAAGCCTAAACCCTAAACCCTTGAACCTAAACCTATACAGGATCATACACCGGGAATGTATCCGCATGGGGGGTAGGTCCCAAGCTTTGGGTTCACATAGGAAGGGCAGCACCCTGTTGAAGACTAGATGTGGTTTCGGGTCTGTCTTGACGTCCAGTCTTGCTGCGCTTTTTTGCTGCTTGGGCTCGCAGGGAATACCTTGCTTTTGCCTGGGCCCACATTGCTGAACTTCATGCCAGTGCCAATTTGCCTAATTCGTGGGCAAAAGCTTGCTCCCCTGGACTGAATCGGGGGCGCCTCCTCTGAGTACTTGCCTCACTCGCTGGCGGCTCCTCTCAGCAAAAATTCCCTTCCCCCTGCCCCCCCCCTACTGCCCGTAAACGCTCTATCCTAAACCCTAATCCCGAAACCCTAAACCCTGCTCCCCCGCCCCGCTTGTCGGGGTGGCGGTGGCTGCGAATCTTCAAGTTTTGGGTTGGTTTTGACCGTGCCTTGTTTTGGATAAAACCCTGAACCCCAAACCCTAAGCCCTAAACCCTAAAAGAATCATTTTCCTCATGGGTGGGTAGATCTTCGGTACCAGAGTAGCGAGCCTGACTAGTGACCGAAACCCGAAACTTTTTTGGGAAATCACCCCCGCCGCCGCCCGCACCGGTTTCGGTTTTGGCCTGGCGGCCCTGAACCCCGAACAAAACCCCGGGGCTCTCCAAGCCCTAACCCGATATGCTGAGGGCTTTGCAGGGCTTAGGGGGCTCTGGGGCGGTTAACCGATGTGAAACAGGCAAAGAGCCGTCGCACCACGAGCTCGAGGACTGCAAGGTCATCGGCCTCCTTGGATTCATGGTTCAGAACTGGGGAATTAGGGCTCAGGGCTTCCGGGATTTCGACTGTGACAAAGCCAGTGTGTAGGGGTTGAGGGTTAGAGATATATGGTCTAGGGATTTAGGAGTTCAGGGAATAGTAATGGTAAGGGCTGAGGGTGCAGGAGATACCGTTGGAGTCAAAGTCAGATGCACACCTCCCCCCCTCCCGAACAAAACTTAAACTCCTCAAGCCATACTCACATTGTGAAGTAAACCCCTTAAACCCTAAACCCTAAACCTATGAACCCTAAACACTCACAGGTGCAAGCCTAATGCTTAACCACTCAACCTCTAAACCTACACCCTATACAAACTCTAAACCCCCAAACCCTAATCCTTGAACCCATCCGGACCCAACGCTGCGGCTGAGCGGCGTGGGCGAGCGCATATCGGAGGAGCGGACCAGGACCGTGGAGCTGTCCTTGTGCTTTGAAGTTAGGTGGGGGTGGTGGTGGTGGTGGTGGTGGTGGTGGTGGTGGTGGTGGTGGCGGTGGCGTGGGTTTAGGGTTTAGGGTTTGGGGTTTGGGGTTTGGGGTTTGGGGTTTGGGGTTTGGGGTTTGGGGTTTGGGGTTTGGGGTTTAGGGTTTGGGGTTTAGGGGCTGGAAAGCCTCCCTCCCCCCCCCCCCCCCGAAATGTTCAGTTCAGGTTCAAGCCCTGTAACCCAAGATCGTGCTTGCAAAACACCGAAGGCACACCTTGAAAACACTTCCAGTTAGGGGGGGGGGGGGGGGGGGGGGTTGCCTAACTGACTGCTCGGATTCTTGCGGGTAGTAGCTGGTGTTGAAGTGTTGAAGGTGTCTCTTTGGAGGTATTTCCAGCAGGAAGCAACAACAGAAGCAACTTCTCAGAATCGTGTAAAGGAGTCGTTGAGTTAGCTCCCCCTCACACTACAAAACCAAGCACCGCTGCCGACATGAAGTGAGCAGCGTATCTCTTCGATTGCCTCGGCGAGGACTACGTTGAGTGTAGTTGATGGGCTGAAGAGGTTTGGAGTTATTCTGGTTCGAGTTCGGCAAAGCTAGTGCAAGTCGGTGTAGCAGCAACATCCAGTGAGAAAGAACCCTAAACCCTAAACCCTAAACCCTAAACCCTAAACCCTAAACCCTAAACCCTAACTCTTGAAATTAGGGCAGGAAGCAGAGAAGGCATGAGCTTCTAAAATCCGACGATGCCTTGAACAGTTCAGGGTTTAGGGTTTAGGGTTTAGGGTTTAGGGTTTAGGGTTTAGGGTTTAGGGTTTAGGGGAACCCCAACCCCAATCCCCCGCCCCCACCCCCCCCCCCCTGTAAGCCGGTCAAAACTCCCAAACCTGAAGGCCTGCAGTCCTAGAGCCCTAACTTAACGGGCTTAGGGTTTAGGGTTTAGATGCGTTTAGGGTTTCGGGTTCAGGGTGACTACCAAAACCCTAAACCCGCAACGCGCTCAAAAACCCCAACCTCCCTCAATAATCCAGCTGCGTTTAGCCCCGAGACTAATAAACCAACACTTAAGAGTTAGCCACCGTCCGAAGTAAGAACCCTAATTATTAAGACCAAAAAGGCTAAGGATCTAATTAAGGTTACAGTATAGAACCACAGACGCAGGCCCTAAACCCCAACCCCCCCCCCCCCCCCAAAAAAAAAAAAAAAAAAAAAGAAAAACACACACACACACAACACACAAACAACCCTAAACACCCAACAACAAACCCTAAAAAACCCCAAACCACTTCATACCCTCAACGTCCCCTCAACGCCCAGCTGCGGGGTAGATGGGCGAGTTCGTTCCGAAGCCGTGGACCCGGAAATGGCCATGCAGCGGCCGGCGTAGAAGCCGCGGGGCGCAGAATGCCATATGAGGGCTTTGGGCTCTTTTGGGGCTTGGAGGATGTAGAGGTTTAGGGTTTAGGGTTTGGGGTTTAGGGTTTGGGGTTTAGGGTTTAGGGTTTGGGGAAGTTCCGGACTTGAGGGATTTAAGGTCGTTTGAGATTCAGGGTGGAAGTTTGGTTTGCATGGCTTGAAGTTGAGGGATGCGGCTGCCTGAGGGCATTGGGGCTGTACAGCCTCCCTGTGAGAACCTGCTTCCTCGCGCTCAAAAGCTCAAAACACAACTTTGAAGCCACTACTAAACAAAACAACGCCCTAACGCCCTGAAGCGCCAAACCCCTGAACCCTAAACCCTAAACCCTGAACCCTAAAACCCTGAACCCGAAAACGTAAACCCTAAACCCTGAACCCTCAACCCTACAAACCCTAAACTCTAGAAAACCCCAAACCCTACAAACCCTACAAACCCCAAAATTTTGTTCCGGCACGCTTATGCTGAACTTGGTACCCATGCAAAAACTAGAACTTTTGCTGTTCTTTGGGAATTCGAGTAAAAAAACATCAAACATTGCTTCCAAGTACCTTTAAGTAACCCGAGGGTCTAAACCCTAAACCCTAAACCCTAAACCCCAAACCCTAAACCCTAAACCCTAAACCCTAAACCCTAAACCCTAAACCCTAAATCTCGGCGCTTCCCAAGACTCTAACACCCGAGGCCCGCGCCAGCCGCGGTGGCATCGCGCAAACGCCGCAGAACCAGCTCCCTGAGCTCCGGGCCTTGATGTTTTTTTCAGCTCGAGGAGGTTGGGGTTTAGGGTTTAGGGTTTAGGGTTTAGGGTTTAGGGTTTAGGGTATAGGGTGTCGGGTTTCGGGTCTTGGGCTTGCGGTTTTAAAGGCGATTTCGACTTTAGGGGTTTGGAGGCTTTGCTTCTAGGGTTTAGGCTGAAGAGATATAATCAAAGTGATACCTAGTGTTCGAGGACACTTACACACGAAGGGCTTCGGGTTTAAGGGTTTAGGGTTTAGAGTTTAGGGTTTAGGGATCTTGGACCTTCATTGCAAATCCTACCGGACCACCAGCATCACTCCAACGAGATGCAAGGTTACATTTCTTAACGACATGCTCTGTACATGTTTAGTGTTTAGGGTTTAGGGTTTAGGGTTCTAGGGTTCTAGGCTGCCCAGTAACCTAGGCTTAAACAGGGTGCCCTTTTTTGCTAAAATGGGTTTATAAGGGTAAACCCCCCAAAAAGGGAATAAGGGTACTACTGGGCATCCTAGGGTTTAGGGTTTAGGGTTTAGAGTTTAGGGTTTCGATTTTCGATGCCAACCGTGCCGAAGCAACAAGCATCCGACCGCCAAGGCAACGCAGACGCCGCGCGCCTCAAGAGGCTCGGTGGCCTCAATACTTCGTAGCCCGGTAACCATATTACAACCACGGGTACACTTTTTTGGTTGGCTACTACTTTATAAGGAAACTGAGAACCAGTAACCGTATTACAACCAGGGGTACCCTTTTTTGGTTGGTTGCTACTTTATGAGAAAACACAGAACCAACAAAAAAACAAAAGGGTAGAGGGTACCATTGGGCTACCAAGATGAACGACCCGGGCTCGCCCCGCGCAGTTGCTCACCGGCAGCGTAGCCCCCCTTGTCGGCGACAGATCTAGCTCCGGTGACATTTAGGGAATTTAGGGGTTAGGGTTTAGGGGGTAGGAATGTAACGGAAAACCGGTTAGGGTATCTAGGGTCGGTGTTCACTTCGGACTACACCTACCTAGCCAGCAACAACCATAAACAAACGTAGCTCCCAAACCCTCATCCCAACAACCGCAAATCCTAAAGCTCTTCTCTAAACCCTAAACCCTAAACCCTAAGCCCTAAGCCCTAAGCCCTAAGCCCTGAACCCTGAACCCTAAACCCTAAACCCTATAAACCCTAGAGAAGACTAACTCCTGTCGTCCGGGGCTCTCGGCTACTGCTTGCCAGCTCCTTGAGCTGTGCCGCGGGAGTTGGGGCAGCAGGCTCCGCCGCCTCTCCGTGAAGCTTTAGGGGGTTTAGGCATTACAGTTTGGGGTTTAAGGTTTGTGGTTTAGGGTTTAGGGTTTAGGATTTAGGGTTTAGGTTTAGGGCTTTGGGTTAGAGGGCTATGGGAGTTGAGGGAGGAGATCTAGGGAGCCAGGGGCTGGGATGTCTTCCATGGCTATTTAAGCGTGAGACGCGACCGCAAACGCAGCTGCTGCACAGGCACCGGCCAAAGATAAGCCAAACGAAGGCGGGCTGATGGACGCAGCCACTAAGTCACCATGGAAAGCTTCGAAACAAGGAGATAAGTCTGGCGACGGCACGCGTGCTGCAGCCCACATGCGATATCGACGACATGGGGCAACGAAACTTGCATGCCTCAAACGGCCATGCAAGGGCGCCGACGACGAAATCTTGCCGTAGAAACGAGGTTTCTGGAGAATAGGGGAAAGGAAGCTGCACCCTACACCCTAAACCCTAAACCCCAAACCCCAAACCCCAAACTGTGTAGGGTTTAGGGTAAAGTCTGTGCGTTGTATCGTGCTCTCCTGTAGTTGAAGACTTCTTTGAAGCTGCGAGCTATGAGGAGGGCTCAAAGATGCGATGATAAGCCCCTATACTTCCAGGGAGCCCCTATAGTTTAGGGTTTAGGGTTTAGGGTTTAGGGTTTAGGGTTTAGGGTTTAGGGTTTAGGGTTTAGGGTTTAGGGTTTAGGGTTTAGGGTTTAGGGCCAGAAGTAGGTCCCTGGAAGGTGTCGTGGCGCCTGCGCCGGTGCGGGATCGGTCTGCACGGTCTGCGCAGACTGCGGGATCGTGGCAGTCTGCGTCTCCGCATCCATGGGCTTGCCTCAGGCCACGTTTAGGGTTTAGGGTTAGGGTTTAGGGTTTAGGGTTTGAAACTGACCTGATTTAAAATCGGCCTACTAAGGTTCCTGAGCCTCTAAGTACGCACGGTTCTGGGGTTCAACGGACATTCCCTGTTACTATCGGGGCCTGCATTATTAGAATAGGGTTTTGGGGGGCTATTGTAGTGAACTCTATAGGGACTAGAAGGGAATAATTTAAATTAGTAATCCTAAACCCTAAACCCTAAACCCCAAACCTGAAACTCTAAACCCTGACGGCCCTAACCCCTAAACCCTAAATTCCCTCAGATCTTGGGGATATTTGCTTTGGGGGCGACTCGCCGGTCTCCCTTGCGATGATTCCGCAAAAAGCTACTCGCACCGAATGCCTAGATCCTGTGCCGAGACACCCTAAACACTGCCCTCAACTCTTGTTAATTTAAGAACCCCCCCCCCCCACCCCGCAAAAAAAAGTGCAAACATTTCCTCTTAATAAGGGTAATATAGGGATGAATATGTTTTAAAATGTTAACCCCAAAACCCAAGACACGAACGCCCCCCCCCCACCCCCGCCCACCCCCTGCCCCCTCCCCCCTCCCCCGCTTCCGGGGGCCCCTGCAGCCAACGCACCAAGTTCCGCTGCTGGATATCGGCCTGAGAGAGGCAACGGTGGGCAGGCTCTTTTCTTTGGAGTTGTGGCTCTTTGGTTCGGGGCAGATAAACGACCCAAACCCGAAACTCCCTGAACTTCATAAACCAATATGCCATGTGTAGGACGGACGGCTCCGCAGGACGCGAATCAATGGAACCGCCCTATCTCATGTCCCTCTCCCCCTTCTTTGTTTTACATACTCTCTGTTTCACATTTGTCTTGTTTTGTGTTATTCCTCTCTCTCTCTCTCCCTCTCTTCTGCTTCTTTCTGTTATCGGTTTCGCTTTTTTTGTTCTATCTTTTGTTTCCTGGTCCTTCTTTCTTTATTTCTGTATTCTTTCTTTTCCTCTGCAGCGTCCCATGCATCGCAGCCAGGCATCCACATAGGCGCCTAAGATTCAACCAACCCCCACCTGTCGCGTGAAACTTGTCGTCCGCTGATGTCCAGCAAGTGCCAAAATGGGCGGTTTAGGGTTTAGGGTTTAGGGTTTAGGGTTTAGGGTTTAGGGTTTAGGGTTTAGGGTTTAGGGTTTAGGGTTTAGGGTGTGCCAAAATGGGCTGCTGTATGCTGCCTGAGCCTCTTTCGAGGTACTTGAACATTCTTGGGCATGCGAGTGCTCGAGGTGGCTTAGGTCCGGTAATGTGCCCAGCTTGCAACCTTCAACCCGCCCCACCCAGACCCTGAGACCTGAATAGGGTCATAAAGGAAAGCATACGGTTACCTGCATTATGGTCACCTTATAATCGAGAAAGACCCCCCACACCTGAGCCCAAGTCGTGAAACACAAACGAGCCTCACCTCCCTTCAGAGGAGGAGATTCCTCTGTCATGAAGCTGCAAGACTTTCCGGTGAGCCAGGAGGGGGTGGCTCCTCAGACGTGTGATCTTTGGTGCACAGGCTTGAGGGTTTAGGAGTTTAGGGGTGTGTAGGGTTGACGGGTTTTGAGAGGTTTGGGGGGGCTTTTTGGGCCGGTTTTGGGGCTTAGAGGCAATACTTTCTGGGTTTGCTCTGGCCCTGAGAAAGTACTGAAGATCAACCAAGCCTCACATTTAGTAGTAGCTCTGCTCCATCTGCTCATAAGCGAGGACCATGGCAAGCACCAGCGCGCTGTCCACGCCAGGGGGGATCTCCAGCAGGTACTCGTTCCTGTCGAACTCGTCAGGCAAGAAGTCCTTCCGCACACATCTTTCCCTAAACCCTAAACCCTAAACCCTAAACCCTAAACCCTAAACCATATACCCCAAGCCTTAAGCCTTAAAGTCTAATATACTCACAGCCTGTAAAGCTCTAAACGAATGAATCATGAACGGTGCAGGGCGGAATCAGCTACCAAGAGCCCTAAACCCTAAACCCTAGACCCTAGACCCTAAACCCTAAACCCTAAACCCTAAACCCTAAACCCTAAACCCTAAACCCTAAACCTAAGTCCTTGTAGGTGACTGGACTGCAGACTTTGGCGATGGGCTGCCCAACCTTCACGTCTCCCAGCCAGATTCCACCCTTCATGCCTTGGTAGCCCAGTAGGGTTTAGGGTTTAGGGTTTAGGGTTTAGGGTTTAGGGTTTAGGGTTTAGGGTTTAGGGTTTAGGGTTTAGGGTTTCGGGGGTACTTTACAAGGGAACCTACAACAAAAAAAGTGGCACAAAAGGGTACCACCAGGCTACCAAGATGCTCGCGATCGACATTTTGCCGTTAAGCTGGATGGGATTGCCCGTGGCGCTCTTCAAGTTCTCTGTGTACTGGGACCTAGGTTTAGGGTTTAGGGTTTAGGGTTTAGGATTTAGGGTTTAGGGTTTAGGGTTTAGGGATAATAATAAAAATTTAAAATTTTATTCCTTATTGGGGTTAAGTACCCTTAAAAATGTGAAATGGTACCCAACTATGACTAAGGGACGTGTTGCCGAAGCTGGACCCGATGCGGAACATTTCCTGTGTGGGTTTGCCATCTGAGTCTACAGCATACACGTACTGCTTGTCATCTACCTGCATGAGGGGCTCTTTGATCACGAAGAGGGGGATTCCCTCAGCGTCACAGATGACACGCTTCTCGTCAAAGTTCAGGAACTTGCCGAGACATTGAAACATCACCTTGCCCGAATCGTTTGCATCGACAATCCTTAGTTTCGATCACCCTAAACCCTAAACCCTACACCCTAAACCCTCTCTTCCCTAAACAGAAGGCAGAAGCGATGCTCTTTGTCATTGTGGCTCGTTCTCTGTACGGCTTGGGTTTTCGGGTTTAGGGCAGTAAGCCCTAAACGGTCCAGGGTTTAGGGTTTAAGGCTTAAGTTTAAGGCTTAAAAACCCTGCTCTGATTGCACGTCAGTGGATGGGGCCTCACAGGCGCAGCTCATTTCGCTACAACCTTCGGAAGTGTTTTGCAGCTTAAACTGCTGCACATAGCTGTGGTATTGGGCACCACCATGGGCAACCCAAGCCATCAGAAATCATAAGCCAGCCCCTCCACCCCACCCTCCGCCCCTCCGCCCCTCCCCCACCCCCACCGCCTCAAACACTCTGCTTCATGTCAGCGTCAAGTTACCAGGAGCAGCTGCAAGTTCTATACACTCAGTCTTTCCAGGTGCTTGCTCATTTCCGATAGACCCAGCGCTGCTTGCAGCTTTGTATTCGTGATGCTCGCCGGCACGATGTGTGGGAACGATGCAACATGTTCGAGGCTAACCCCAGCAACCAGAACCACACTGGACACAACTACACACCAAAGCAAGCCCTACATAAACCCTAAACCCTGAACCCTAAACCCTAAACACTCAACCCTAAACCCTAAACCCTAAACCCTAAACCCTAAACCCTAAACCCTAAGTCTAAGTGCCTTAACAAGCATCTTGTAGCTGTCTCCGCTGAAAGAGAAGACTTTTGCCTGGAGGCGCAGCATCATGTTCTTGCCCTCTGGGACGACGAACTTCGAATCGAACACCTGTTTAGGATGCAAGTGGTTCCAACGCCGGATACGTATACATGTAAATAACTACATATATATATATATATATGTGTGTGTGTGTGAATGTATGTGTGCATGTATGTACAAATAATCAAATAAAGATAAACAAACAAACAAGAATAAAATTATAAATAAATAAATAAATGCCTAGGTATACACATGTACATATATATATATATATATGTATGTCAATGTACATTTATATATGTGTATGTACATTCACGTGTATGCCCCTGCGGGGACTCTAGTTCAGAACAATCCCCCCCTTCTAGCTCGCCCTAAACCCTAAACCCTAAACCCTAAACACTAAACCCTAAACCTTAAGCCACTAAACCCTGAACCCTATCGGAGTTTGCATGGCTTGGGTCCTGGGGCAGGCCATGCGCTTTCGAGTTACTCCGAACACCCCAACACGCCTTTTTAACACCCTGTAGGGTTTAGGGTTTAGGGTTTAGGGTTTAGGGTTTAGGGTTTAGGGTGTAGGGTGTAGGGTGTAGGGTGTAGGGTGTAGGGTGTAGGGTTTAGGAAGGGCCCCTAAGTGCCGTTTCTAAACTCCCCCTCCTTTAGCTTGTCGATGTCGGGATTTGCGCTCAACTCGATGGGAATCTCCGCAGTCGACGCTGCGCAGCCCATGCTCGGCAAGGGGAAGGCTCGGTGAAACGGAGCGCAAGCTAAACCGATGCTTGGCTTTCAAACTGCGCCGCGGCAATCCGTTTAGGGTTTAGGGTTTAGGGCTTGGGGTTTAGGGCTTAGGGTTAGGGTTTAGGGTTTAGGGCTTAGGGTTTAGGACAGCGTTGAGGGCCTTTCAGCCTGTCCAGGTTCTCTCTCTCTCTCTCTCTACTCCCGACTTCCTGACTTGTGCCAACCATCCTCTAACCTGCACTTCATAAACCTTACAGCACGGTTCAAAGTATATATATATATATATATATATATATGTATATGCATAGAAAACTTACAGAAGTATATATATATATATAGGTATATACATACACACACATATATATATATATATATATTATTACACCCTTGTTCTATCAAGCCTGAAACCCCACATTTCAGTAAGGGAATTACAATTAAACATTGCCCAGCTGCGGCATGTTGTCGCCCCGGTCCTGCTTCGCCTGGGTGAGGTGTGACCTGTCAGGCTTATAGGGTTTAGGGGTTTAAGGTTTAGGGTTGAGCGTGTAAAAATTAGAGCTAGAATTTAGGGTTTAGGGTTCAGGGTTTAGGGGTTTAGGGTTTAGGGTTTAGGGCTTAGGCTTTAGGGTTTAGGGTTTAGGGGTTTAGGCTTTAGTGGCGTAATTCGGGGGCTCAGAGGCACAGGGGTGTAGGCCCTGAGGAGGCATCGGAATGTCGTCCCTAGACCCGAACTTTGGTGGTTTCGGGCTTTCAAGGCTTCGGCTTAGGGGAGATACATGTTTGGGACCCTAAGCCCTAAGCCCTAAACCCTAAACCCTAAACCCAAGTTAAACCCTTTGCAGACTGCAACCCAGTTCTCCTGGTGACTGCAGATATTGCATCAGGCGCCACCTCCCCAATCCTGAACCGCCTGAACCCCCTACACACCTCAATAGTAGGTGCCAGACCCCTGAAGCCCGCAACCAAGAACCTAAAAAGAAAACGAGGCTCCAATGCGCCTAACCCCCTTCAAAACCCGAATGAAGCCCTGCAATGCATAATTATGAATTGGGATGTTCCCCCTTGTACTTGCAGTCCTTCATACAGGGATTATAGTACCCCCCCCCCACTCTACTCCCTATTGAAGACTGTTAGTATAAGGGGGAACATCCCAAATTTTGAGTCCTAAACCCTAAACCCTAAACCCTAAATCCTCAACCCTCAACCCCAAACCCTAAACCCTAAACCCTAAACCCCAAACCCCAAACCCTCCCTGAAGCCGCGAGTCCCGGGCGCGAGCCGAAGCAACGCTGCGGAGCGGCTGCGCAGGGCCTGCGGGGTTCAGGGTTTTAAGTTTTAGGGTTTAGGGTGTAGGGTTTTAGGGCTTCAGGTTTTAGGGTTTAGGGTGCAGAGTTTTAGGGTTTAGGGTTTAGGGTTCAAGTTGGGGGGGGGGTGGGGGGGAAGGTGACAAGCTGGGATTTGGGTCAGGGTTCAGGGTTGTTGGGACATGGGGCCCGTTGTTTGTAGAGGCACCGTGATGTGCTGCTGCGGGTTTCGGGTGGGTCTCAGAGTCTAGGCGTCAAACGCAGCGCGCGGCCAGAATCCTACCGACCCTTTACCTCCACTTACCCAAGTATTGGGTTCGTAAACTTCAAGGGACTCTGCCTAGGACCCCTAAGATTGTACCCCTTGTTCTCTACAATGGATTGTAGGATCCTTGAACCACCACACTAATTTCGTAGCCCACTAAATTTGACTAGGTACCATGGGGAGTTTTTCGACTATGACGGGACGGTTCCGGGACACATACATGCAACTGTTGGACTTAAGTTAAGGAAGGCTTGTGCTCCGATCCTTTATGCTCAAGAATTACCTTAATCGCGCGGAGCAAAAGTGATCGAGTCATTTGCAGAAAGAAGCTTCTGCATTTGTATTACCCTAAAACCCTAACCCTAAACCCTTGATCCCTAAACCCTAAGCCCCAACCAAAACCTTCGAGACGAGCTCGCTCAGCCTTGAGGTATACAGGTTTACTTCGGGATGTTCCCCCTTCTACTAACAGTCCTTAATCGGGATTTGAATAGGGGGTATTATAATCCCCATTACGGACTGTTAGTATAAGGGGGGGACATCCACAGCTTTACTCTTGACACAATATCAAGCATCCTCTTGCCAACTCTCTGATGTCTTGCGCCAAAGCGAGCAATGTGAACAAAGTCACCTGACACGAGCAGGCCTCCACAAAAGGTCACTAACATCCCAGAAAGAAGCCTCGACACATTGGGGGTCTGAACCCTAAACCCTAAACCCTAAACCCTAAACCCTAAACCCTAGACCCTAAACCCTAAACCCTAAACCCTAAACCCTAAACCCTTTGGCGGCAATCAGAACTCGTCAGCTGCAGCCAGGCCTCTCGAAGCCGCGCCTCTCGCGCGCCTGAAGCTCGAAACCGGCTAAGGGGTTTAGGGTTTAGGGTTTAGGGTTTAGGGTTTAGGGTGTAGGGTTCAAACCTCAACTTGCTCCATCTATTATGGCCTACGTACACTCAGGGCTTAGGGTTCAGGGTTTGAGGATTTAGGGTTTTAGGGTTTTGGGTTCAGGGCTTACGGTTCAAAGGGTTTGGGGTTTACATCTGAATGTGGGACTGAATGAACCCAAAGATTGGGATCCTAGATTTGCTATTGCTCTGATGCTTCTTCCCTAACATAGGTTAGGGTTTAGGGTGCAGGGTTTCTGCAAGGGTGACGGTTCTTGAGCGAGCATTGAGCATTGAGAATTGAGCACTGAGCATTGAGCATTGAGCATTCAGCATTTGGGGTTTAGGGTGTAGGGTTTAGGTTTTAGGTTTTAGGGTTTAGGTTTTAGGGTTCTTAATTCAGGTTCAGCCTGCGGCCACCAGCTCCTGGCGGGCGTCGGTCAGGCCCCGGCGCGACTCCTTCGGCAGGGCTAGGGCCGAGGTTTGGGGGTTTCTTCGTAGCCGAGGTCTGATGTAGGGTTTAGGGTTTAGGGTTTAGGGTTTAGGGATTGGGGCAATTACTTGCTAGCCCAGTAGCCGCATCACAATAAGGGCACCCTTTTGTTGGGGCTGGTTACTTTATCAGGGAGCCTGGAACCCCCAAACAAGGGTCAAGGGCACTGCTGGGCCATCAAGGATTGGGGCTTGCAGGGCTTACTTGGAGGTTCATGGGTAGGTATTATAAGTATGGTAGCTATACTTGTATAACGCTATTTGGGCACTTCCAGCCCCCTCCAAGTACAGGGTCAGGGCTTAGGGGCTGTATGGGCTTCTAGGGCTCAGGGACTATAGGGTCTAGGGGTTGGGCGCTGCAGGGTCTATGATTCATCTCCTCAGCCGGGTAAAGGCAGCCAGGCTTTTTAGGGCTCACGGATTAGGGTTTAGGAAAGTTTGGGGTCTACGGGGTCTACGGGGTCTAGGGTTCAGGGCTTCCATTTGGGGTTTCTACGACGTTGAAACATTGACACACATGTAAGGGTTTGTCTGGTTCGTGGCTTTGAGCTGTTTGGCTTAGGGGTTTGGGGACAGCTTCTCCCTTACCGGGGCAGTAAGGTTGTGGGGTTTAGGGTTTAGGGGTTTGACAAGGCCTCACCACTTCTGACACGCAGTGTCTCACTGAAGCCCTACACCAAAAGCTAAGCTTTCCGCTTGCAGAAGTTGAAAATCCTGCGCGTAAAGCTCCTACAGTACGCCATGCTCCCCCGTGGGACCGCAGGGAGGCACCACTCCCAGACACAAAGCTTAAACCTAAATCCCCAAACCCGAAACCCAACCCTAAACCTCCCAAATGCAACTCTTCAAATGCTGGTGTGTCGGAAGGGTCCTCACATTGCTCGCGGAGCTTCCGCAAGGCCAGATCCTCCTGGGGAAGTTGTCCAGGTGCCTGACAGAGGCTGAGGGTTTAAAGTTCGTAGCTTCTTTTGTAGGGGGGTTCCCCAAGAATTAAACACTAAACAACCTAAAACCTTTAAAGCCACAAAGACCTAAACCCCAAATCCGGCTAACACTGAGACCATGAAACCCTGAACCCTGAGAGTTTAGGACCCCTAAATCCTGAAACGCTAAACCCTTTCTTACCTCTTGTCGGGCTTAGGGTTTATTTCGGGTTGAGGGGTTTACTAGTTCATGGTGGGGATCGTATTCAGAATTCATATATATATATATATATAGAGAGAGAGAGAGAGAGAGAGAGATTCCTTATTGAGTTTAAGTACCCTTAAAAATGTAAAATGATAATCCCCTCCCCCTAATATTAAACCCCCCCTACCCCCTAATATTAACCCCCCCCCCCCCCCCCCCCAATATACTAGAATATAACTATAATGGGGGGGGGGGGGGTCTTAATAATGGGGGGGGGGGTATTTAATATTAGGGGGTAGGGGGAGGGGTTAATATTAGGGGGAGGGGACTACCCAACTATGACCAAGTTTAGGGTTGATGTTGACAACTTTTTGGGCTTCGCTATGCTTCGGCCTTGGAAGGGTTTCCCTGCCATCCCAACAAATCCTAGCAGCACAGGCAAATGGGTTTAGTTAGGGTTTAGGAGTTGGGGTTTAGGGTTTAGGGTTTAGGGTTTAGGGTTTAGGGTGGTTTAGGGTTAGGGTTTAGGGTTTAGGGTTTGGGGTTTAAGTCTTGCGTTGTAAGCACATGCGCTTGGAATATTCATTCCCCCTACATCCAGCCGCCTCAGCCGCCTGCACCGTATCCCAAACAAACAGTACATGGCCTCTTGCGCGAAACGCTGGGAACAGCCATAGTTAAGGACAGAAATTCGGTTCTCCAGGAGTCCCAGATTGGGCGTAAGGTTTAGGGTTCAGGGTTTAGGCGCTGAGGCTTATTCCTTGAAACCCTGCAGCCCGGACGCCAAGCCTCAAATACAGACCTTCAACCCAACACTCTGCACTCTACTCTCTAAACCCAACCGAATTCCGTAGACCCCTTCCACTAGTCCAGAAGATGCCCGGAGTACCCCATTGAAAGAAGCATTTTGCCCCAT